CTGTACACACTGTCTGTAGGCTGTGCTATGTGGGGTTGTACACACTGTCTGTAGGGTCAGGTGTTCTAGGCTGTACAAGGTTTGAAATCATTTCAGAAACATACATCCACTGACCTGCAGTGCCATCTACTTAGTTAATTGGCCTAGTGTGGCACTCTAGAATAAGCCCTGGACTGTAAGGTCGATTTGAATCACAAAGTGGCGGTTCAAACCCACCAGCCTCTCCTTGCAAACCCTATATAGAGCTGCTATGAGTTACAACTGACTCAATGGCATTAAACAACAACAATAGCAAATAGCGGCTTGAGTAGTGCACCCGTTACATGCTTGACTGCAGGGTGGTCCATTCAAACCCACCAGCCTCTCGGATGGAGAGACAATGAGGCTGTCAGCTCTGGAAAACTTCTGAGGCTGGGAAACGCTGCGGAGGTGTTCTACTCAGTCCTCCAGGGTCGCTAAGAGTTAGACTCTGTTCAGTGGTAATGGAGTTTACCATCTGAAAGTTTGCTGGTTCGAATTTACCCAGGGGTGCCTCAGAAGTCAGGCCTTGCAAAATCCGTTTCTGAAAGGTCCCAGTCTTGAAAACCCCATGAAGCAGTTCTACCCTGCACACACGGGGTCGCCAGCATCGGAATGGACTGACGGTGATGGCAACAGCCACGTGGAGACGGACAGCCACGTGACCTCTATGGAGGCGGGGCATACAGCCATGTGACTTCGGTGCAGGCGTACCTGCGCCAGTGGTACCAGAGCCTCGCCCTGGCCCTTCTCCCCTTTCCACACCTAGGGCCTTGCCCTGGCCCTCCTCCCCTTCCCACACCTAGGGCCATGCGGCAAGGTGGGCATGCAGAGGTCCTCAGGGAGTTGTTGGGGGACACGGGACCAGAACAGACTGTGTGTTTAGCATGGGAGTGAGACCGGCCGGGGCTGCTTTGCCTCCCTCCCTTCAGCTCCTCTTCCTCCCTGCTTACAGAGAACCATCTTCTCGACTCTGGAGAACGACCCTCTCTTTGCCCGGTGCTGCCGAGGGGACATAGCTGTGGACAAGTACCGTGAACTGAGCTTCCTGCGGTGCAAACGCTTTTTGGAGTACAGATTCGTGAGGGTGAAGGACTTCCTCCAGGCACCTGTGAAAGTCTCCGTGCTCATTGAGTGCATGGGCATGTACGACTGGTCTGTGGGTATCAAGTACATCCTGAACATGTTGGTGAGTGCGCCCACGCTGGCACGATGCCCCGTGTGGCCCCAGGGGAGCAGGGACATTGGGGTTCAGAAGTGTTTTCACCCTGGCCTTGGTGGTGGCTGTCACTGTTAGCATGTTGACTTTGACACTTCTGTAAGGGGTCTAGGTACCCAGTGCTGCAAGAGCAGAAATGTCACCCATGGGCGACCTGAAGGAACAGGAATTTATCCTCCATCGGGGGCTCAAAGCCCCTGTCAGGGTCTTGACTATGCTGGCTCCTTCTGAGGTCTGGCTTCTGGTTTCTGTGACTGCTGGCTGGTAGTCCTTGGCGTTCCTGTGTTTGTGAATGCCCCTCACGTACTGTCTTCCTCCACCCTGTATGTTTGTCTGTCCTGGTCTATTTAGAACCCAGAGATGATTAGCTTCAGGACCCACCCTTCTCTAGTGTGACTGTGTGACTCTCAGAAGAACACCTCTATGTCCAGACACAGGGCTTCCTTAGGTTGGAGTCTCAGTTCTCTGATGCTGCTGTAACCCAGCTAGCACAAGGGGGTGGTTTTAACAAACAGAAATTCCTTTTCTCACAGTCTAGGAGCTAGAAGGTCACATTCAGGATGGCAGTTAGAGGGGAAGATGTTCTCTCTCTGCTGGCTCTGGGGAAGGGCCTGGTCTCCTGTCTGCATCTGTGGGCCCAGAGTTCCCTGGAGATCTCCATGCGTCTTGGCATCAGTCTTCCCCTGGATCTAGGAGCTTCACAGGGTTGGGACCATGGGTCTAAAAGACACCCTCCACTCCCGGGTCTGCTTTGTGGACCCAGTGTTCCCTAGAAATCTCCATGGAATCAGTCTTCCCCTGAATCTAGGAGCTTCACAGGGCTGGGACCGCGGATCTAAAGGACGCCCTCCACTCCCGGCTCTGCTTTCTCGGTGTGGTGGGTCCCTCTCTCCCTGCTCCCTTCTCTCTCCTGTATTTGTTGTAAAATGCAGACCACACCCCTGGGAGACTCCCTGACATCGATCGGGATTGTGATGGGATTGAGGGTGTTGCAGCCCATCCTTAATCCTCTCCTCGGTTTCTCACATTGGATCACATCCTGGGGATCGTCACACAACTGGCACATGACATCACTACATAGCTACCACGTGACATCACACAACTGCCATGTGACATCATCACACAACTGCCACGTGACTTCACAACGTAGCTGCCATGTGACATCACTACGTAGCTGCCATGTGACATCATTACACAACTGTCACGTGACCACACACAACTGCCACATGACATTACTGCATGGCGGCCACATGATGTCACCACACAACTGCTACGTGACATCACACGACTGCCATATGACATTCTCACACAGCTGCCATGTGATACCAGCGCACAGCTGCCATGTGACGTCATCATATAACTGTCAAACTACTGGCACTCATGACCCAGTCTCATTGACCCATGTTTTGGTCCACCATTCAATCCATGACGGAGCTCTGAGGATACACTTCAGTTTACAATGTGGGAATTTATGTATTTTTGTAAATATTTGTCTACAGCGTTGTGTGTGTTGATGGAAAAGAAAAACAGAGACTCTACGGGTAGATCTTGTGGTTCTGAATGAGCACTCCACTCTTCTCCCAGTCCTATACGAAGGGATTCTCAAAGTTTGTGGGAATATCCCACGATATTTCAATTCTGCTTTTCCATGAGCTTTCTGAAGTCCTCTCATGTGCTGTGTGTACACTTAAGAGCTGGGACCATAGGCAGCCCCTAAACCCACTGCCCTCGTGACCCACATGACCCGGTACTAGTTTCCAAGCTGTCGGTCTCTACAGGAACAGCTGCTTCCACAGAGCAGCTGATGGGTTTGAACTGCCGACTCTGGTTAGCAGTCCAGTGGAAGCTAAAGTCCACAAGATGAAGGTCTTGGGGATATTTCTCTCTCTCCACCAACAAAGAACAAGAAGACCATTGCGAAAGAGGGAGCAGATCGCAGGGAGACCTGTGTCCTCTTCTCCCTTTTTGGGGCTAACCACAGGGACCAGAAGCAAGCCTGTGGCTTGTTGTAACTGTTGGCCATCCAGGTCTCCACCCAGATTCACAGGAGTCTGTTGAGTATGGTCGGACTTAGATCCCAACTGCATTGCTGTTTTTTTCCCCTCTTCCCTTATCGATGACCAACATGGTCACCAGCCAGACCACATGCCTGCTCGTGTATTCCCCTTGAGTCTTAGTCTTGGAAGGGAGTTTATTCTGAGGGGACCCAACCACTTGCCTTGATGGCTCCCGGGCAAACAGCTTACTTGTTCTTGTAGTAATCAATCTGACGGCTGTGATTTTTCCTGCTGGTCTTTCTTCATGAAGTATCTTCTGTTCTTCTAGCCGCTCCAGGCTGGTCTACATGTCCTTTCCAGTGGAAATTTCCCACCTCAGACAATTCTGGATGGGATTCAGGGTTTTTTTTTGCACCCCTTTGATGAAACCCACTTGGTCATGCTGTATTATTTTTGTTTTATTGTGGATTTTGTTGACTAGGATTTTGTTGAGAATTTTTGCATCTATGTTCATGAGGGATATTGGTCTATAATTTTCTTTCTTAGTGACGTCCTTCCCTGGTTTTGGTACGAAGGTTATGCTTGCTTCATAAAAAGTATTAGGAAGTTTTCCATCCTCTTCTATATTCTGGAATAATTTGAGTAGAATTGGTGACAGCTCTTCCCTGAATGTTTGGTAGAACTCACCCATGAACATTTCTGGGACTGGACTTCTTTTGGTTGGGAGTTTTTTGATGACCTGATCAATTTCTTCTTATGTTATGGGTCTGTTCAAGTTTTCTACTTCACTCTGTAAGTTTAGGGTTAGGTAGGTCGTGTTTTCCTAAGAATGGATCGATTTCTTCTATTTTTTGAATTTGTTGGAGTATAACTCTTCATAGTATTCTGTTATTATCCTTTTGATTTCTTTTGGTTCCGTTGTGACATCGCCCATGTGGTTTCTAATGCAAATTATTTGCCTTTCCCCTCTTTTCTTTTGTTAGTTTTACCAATTTTATTAATCCTTTCAAAGAACCAGCTTCTTGTCCTGTTAATTCTTTCTATAGTTTTTCTGTTTTCCATCTCATTTATTTCTGCTCTAATCTTTATTATTTCTGTTCTTTTGGTGACTGTGGGTTCCCTCTGCTGCTCTGTTTCTAATTGTTGGAGATGCTGTGTTAATGTGTTAATTTTGGTTCTTTCCTCTTTTTGGATGTGCACATTTATCGCAATAAATTGTCCTCAGCACCGATTTTTCTGTGTCCCAAAGATTTTGGTATGTTGTGTTTTAATTCTCATTTGTTTCTAGGAACTTTGTGAATTCACGTTTAATTTTTTCTTTTACCCAGTCACTTTTCAGCAGGGTGTTATTCAGTTTCTATGCATTTGGCTTTATTTCCTTGGTCTTCTTATAGTTGGTTTTTAGTCTTATTGCATTGTGGTCTGAAAAGATGCTGATTTGTAAATTTATGGAGGCTTGCTTTGTGACCTAACACATGGTCATTTCTGGGGAATGTTCCATGTGCACTGGAGAAGAATGTATATTGTGCTGTTGTTGGGGTGAATGCTCTGTACACATCTGTGATGTCAGGTTGGTTGATTGTGTTGTTTAGTTCCTCTGTAACTTTGTTGAGTTTCTTTCTTGTTGTTCTGTCCCTTTTCGAAAGTGGCCTATTAAAATCTCCCATTATAATTGTAGATTTATCTATTTATTTATTCAACTCTAGTAAGGTTTGCTTCATATATCTTGGTGCTCTTTCATTGAGAGCGTAGATATTTATTATGGTTGTGTCGTCTTGCACAATTGATCATTTGATCACGAACTAGTGTTCTTCTTTGTTTCTTATGCTGGTTTTTGTCTTAAAGTTTACTTTATCGGAGATTAGTATTGCCACTCCTGCTTGTTTATAGTTGCAGTTAGCTTGGTATACTTTTTTCC